CAGTCGAAAAGTCCACAATATCTATTTTCTTTTTCTTTTTATTTTTTTAAAAGTTTTCGACAGAATTTTTTTCCGTCGGAGAATCAAAATTCTGTCGAAAAATCCACAATATATAATTTATTTTTCTTTTTTCAAAAGTTTTCGACGGAATCGAAATTCCGTCGAAAAGTCCACAATATCTATTTTTTTTTTTTTCAAAAGTTTTCGACGGAATTTTTTTCCGTCGAAAAGTCCACAATATCAAATTTCTTTTTCTTTTATTTTTTCAAAAGATTTTCGACGGAATTCCTGTTCCGTCGTAAATCTTCGACGGAATCGAAATTCCGTCGAAAAGTGCACAATATCTATTTTCTTTTTCTTTTTATTTTTTCCAAAAGTTTTAGAAAGAATTCTTTTTTCGTCGAAAAGTCCAAAAAATTCAATTTCTTTTTCTTTTATTTTTTTCAAAAAAATTCGACGGAAAAGGATTTCCGTCGAAAATCTTCGACGGAATTTCTTTTTCAGTCGAAATTTTTGACGGAAAATAAATTCTGTGGAAATTTCCGTCAATAATTTCGACAGAATTTTTTCCGTCGATAATAAAGACTTTTCTAGTAGTGATGGACCGGTTAGGAAAATAAGAGAAAAAGTAAAATAAATAACAAAATAACACTTCCATGGAGTTTATATTTTAGAATAAATAAATAAGTTATCATCATTGTTAGTATTTACCTTTTTTTTTTTTTGGTAAACGTTAGTATTTACTTTTACTTTGCTTACTATCAAACTTTCTCACTCTAAAATTCCTTTCTTTTTTTTTCCCTCTTTCTTACTAGAGTTCTTTCTTTATTTTTCAAGACCCTTTACTCCTTGATTTATCTTAAATTTCAAGCAAAGGCTAATGGTTCTTCAAGTCTCTATTTATAGGAAAAATATTACTATGCTAATGGTAAAATTAATATGATAATAATAAAATATTATTTACCTAATAATCATTAAAAAAATATTCTCATGTGGAATATCTTGGAAATTTGTTTATGATAATTTATGATTGACTTATATATTTTTGGAGTGTAATTTATTATAATTTATGATTTATTTATATATTTTTTTAGTGTAGTTTATAATAATGTATGATTGATTTATATATTTTTGAAGTGTATTTTATGATTAATTTATATATTTTTGGACTGTTATTTATAATAATTTATGATTGATTTATATATTTTTAGAATGTTGTGTATAATAATTTGTGATTAAATTATATATTCTAGAGTGTTGTTTATAATAATTTTGTGAGTGACGGATATTATTATTATTATTATTTATTTTTTATGGTTTTACAGTAACACTATGAAAACATAAAGCCTAATTTGAACTTAAATTTATTTGTGTCATTAGTGTGTTGCTTGTGATTATTAAATGTCTATTGAGATTTCTAAGAAATGATATTATTAATTATTTGGAGAATTTTTTTTTAGATATTTCAATCGGTTCATCGCTTCACGACTAGTCTGATTCGGGACTGGTTATGAAATTAAGGCTTTAAACTCCTTACAAAGACTAATTAATATTTCTTATGCTTAATTTATAGCTAGATGTTGTTATGTGATTACATAATTTGTCACTGTTTTTCTACCAAAATAAAAATTGTCACTGTTTTATTTATGGTAAAAATTATCTAAAATAATATGTTTAGCGTAGTTAATGTTAAAATTAATTTTGATAAGCTATAAACCCTAATAATTTTAAATTTGGTCAAGTTATTTGTTTACTTTTTTAAAACTAAATATTTGGTTTTATTTAATTTTTACCTTTAATCTCATTACTTGTCACTATTTTTTCATTATCTAAAATTTAAATTATAAATATTAATAAAATTGACTTCGTGATTGTACAATTATACTAACAGTTGTAAGCATTTTGAAAATTCATGATAGTCATTAATTTAAATTTTCCTGTAATTTAAAACAATGTGATGTTGAATATATTTTTAAATGATCGACACTTAAAATTCCCCCTTAAGTTTTCTAATTTTTGTTAACATAATTTAGCATTTTATTATTCATAGAAATAAAATTGTTTTCCATTCACAAGTTGAATGTGTTGACTCTAACCCTTGCGAATACAATGAACTTGACTTAGACCGATCATCTTTTAAAGTGGGACGTAGAAAATATAAAATTTATAAAGATATGCCTCAATTTGGAGACAAAGCGGATCATGTCGGAATGCAGATCTTGACAAAGTGATCAACAGGTATTTTGATGTTAGGTTTTATGTTATTTTATTGGGTTCACTTTTTCTGCAGTTACTGCAGATAAGTTATCTGCAGTAAGTTCAATACGACGTCGTTTTGAGGCGAAAATCATGGTGTTTTTGTAATTTTAATTTATTTCAGGATTATAATAGTCTTTATATTTATAATTTTTTAAGATTTCAATACCAAAACGACGTCGTTTTAGGAATAAATGCAGATAACTTATCTGCATTAACTGCAGAAACATTTTTCCCTATTTTATTATGTTAAAATTTTATATTTATTTGTTAATAAACATTATATAAATAAAACCTTACAAAATTTATTTAAAAAGTGAGATAACCGTCTACCCAAAAAAAAATTTGAAAAGTGAAAAATTTATTTATTATATTATTTATTTTAAAATATGTTTGTGCAAATTTTTAAAATATCAACATTTACCTATATATCCTAATATAAATAAACTATCGTCGCACTAAATTTAATGTGACGGTAGTACTAAAAGATTTCTCACAAACAATATATAAAAGGGATTAATATTTCTGTCGTCGCCGTAAATAGTGTTATCTACAGCTGATACAGAAAAGTGGGTCCCACGGCTTTTTAAAAAAAAAAAACTCAGAATCCATTGCCGTATCTTAGGATTCAGACGTATATCCTTATTTACGGTAGGTACAGCAACTGCAGAAATCATTTTGCCTATATATAAAAAGTCTTTTCGCAATTATAAAGAGAAAGCTGAAGCAAATGAAGATAGTCTCGTGATTGAAATTTATCGTACTCTATTGTTTCCCAATTTCGGGACTTTTAACGTACCTAACCATGCCACGTGATGCCACGCGGAGAAACCGTAAAGGATTAAGAAGAAAAATGAAATACGTAATCTATAATAAAATAAGACTAAAAATCAATTTTTTTAAAATAAGATAGTAATTTCCTATTCATCAGTTTCAAGGTAATTCATACTTTGTATTACAAAAAAGGTAATTCAAACTTTAGTTGAACTGAAAAAAATCAAATACAGACTAAAGTGCATTTTGGTCATTAACAAAAAATATGATCCTTATTTTAGTGGTATGATTATTATGAAATTCAAAATAAATTCATTTTAATCTTTTTGAAAAATTAATATAAGTCTTTTTTAAATTTGTAAAGAATCATAATTTCAACTAAATAGATTTATTATAAATTTTTTAATGACCTCAAAACTAATTTTTTTTAAAGGATTAAGGCGAGAATCATATTTTTATTAGGGAGCTAAAATGTGCTTTACTCTTAAATATACATATTTATCAACTTTTTATTTACAAACTACATTTTATACTTTGAAGAGTATGTTTTAAAAAAAAGTATATTTTTCATAATATATAATATAGTTTGTAAGAATTTATAAATAAAAAATTTATTAATATAAATTTTCTGTATTTAATATTTTATAATACAGTAAATAATAAATTCATATAAAATTAAAAAATAAAGTAACAACAGTTAGATCGTTCTCCATATATAACAATTATATTATATGTCTTGTAAAGAAAATAATAATAATAATAATTTATAATGAATCTTTTTAATAACCGTCAGTTAACTAGAAAAGGAAAAAAAAACCTTCAAACCAATTCTCATTGATTTTAGACCGATTTAACCAATTCTCTATCAGTTTTCTGATTAGTCAATTTTTTTTCTTTTTAGTTGAATGAATAGGACATATACCTAGTTCACTATAGTTTTTCAATTGAACTTCTGGTCGATCCTACTTAATATTGATAGATACAAAATATGATGTTGTTCATTTCTAAAGGTATTCAATTATACTCATAATATGATGCATCCATACGGACACGAAAAATGATATGAGAGGACACAGCGACACATTAATTTTAAAAAATGTTATATTTCGACATGTTGGGATACGTTTTGATATTAAATAATATTTTTAATATATATAATATAATTTATATTTAATTCATATAACAGTCTATAATAAGTCATATAACTAATTAAATATTCAAATTCCATAACATAAATATAAACAAAAATAATTTTTTCTACCTTGTTAATTTGCCATGTAAATTTTATAACAGAAAAAAATTAATTTATAAATTATTTTTTTAATTTTTAGTTAATAAAATAAAATTAAGAAGTAAAAAAAAAATATATATCAAATACGTGTTGGAACGTTGATCGCATGTCGAAAAAAGTTAATTGTGTGTTAGAACATTAATCATATGTCTCAAAATATTAATCACATGTCAGAACATATAAGTGTCGGACAGAGACATTTAAAAAACAAGAACGAGTCGGTGCTTTCTTGCTCATAACAGCATTATATTAAGAGAAGAATTCAGTTTAGCTGAAAAATTGTAAAGTGGTCCACAACAGCTGGAAAATTTGATGGTCCATTTTATAAGGAGTAATTTTTTTATTATTATTCATATTTTTTTTTTCTCTTTTTATCCTCGTGGAAAAAGAGCATCGAGTGAATGATGTTCGGAACACCCAAATTCCTCTTAGTCTAGCTATAAAAAAAAGAAGAAACTTAAGTTGTAAATTAAGTCAAATGAATGGATTTAACTAAGAGATTATAATATTTCATATTATAAGAAATAATTTTATTTTCTATACATACAATAAAAATATAAACTTCACACTTGTATCAAAAATACTAATCCCTATAACTAATCTTAAGCGTCATGATGGATTTCTTCATTTCCCATGACCTCTGTATTAAATAACTCCTTATGTTTATAAATTTGTTTCTATACAATTTAAGGGTGGGTGGGTGTAGTTTATGCTTTATATGCATCAAGAGCTGTATGGAGCAAAAACTAAAGCTAGAGTAGAAAAGAAAAGAAAAGAAAGAGGAGAAACAAGTAAGCAGAAATGTCATCGATTTTTCTCTCTTCAACTGCAATTGCAACTGCAACTGCAACTGCAACTGAACGAACCAATTTCTCTCTCTTCAACTCTCTACGTTCTCCTTCTCTCTCTTTCTCTCGCTCATCATCGTCATCGCTCTCCTACACCTTCAATCCTCTAAGGTAACTGTAACATTCTCACTCATTCCTCTTCTTTCTGATTTTGTTTGGAGATTTTATTAATTTATGGTCCTATTTGATGGAATTGGAAGCATCCCGAAGTCGAAGACCAACATCAGAACCACAGGGAGGATTCGTGTGCGTTGCTATGCAGCTTCTCTCTCTGCGCATAATCTGCAGTGGATCTCTGCTGTTTCTTCTCTGTCAGTGGTTATTTAAGTTCAAGTGGTTAATCATGGAATTTTATGCCTTTCTTATCTCCAATTATTTTTAATTATCACAACAGAATTGTCTGTCTTATGCCTGTAACTTAAATCTTATAATGAAAAACCGCAATTCATAGTTACATTTTGTTTTCCCCTCTTTCTTTGTTATATTATGCAAAATTTGAGAGGCAGCTGATGGATATTCAGAATCTTGTAGGGTTTTAATACTGGCAAAGGGCACCGCGGTTCCGAAATCATTTATTGTTCCGTTATTTGCTTTGCAAGCACCTTTAGGTGTCGTTACCTGGATAAAGTATGTTATTAATTCTTTTATTTTATTTTCTTGTTCAGTTTATATATGGTGAATTGTTTAAAATTAATTTATTTTTTTCCCCCTTTGTATTTGCTCAACAAATTTCGTAGAGTATTATTCTCTTTATCAACAGTGTTTATTTTTTTACCCTTGTTTTCGTCAAAATGTTTTAACAAATTGGACATACAGAGGTAGATATGGTATGTGGTCAGCATTCTTGGCACTTCTCGTTCGTCTCTTCTTCTATATTCCTGGTATGTTCTCTTATCCTTCATGAAAAATTTAGGAAATTTTTGACGGAGTAACATTTGGTACCATGTATATAGCCCTCATTGAAATTGGTATAGTTCAACACATTGTTTTGTGAACCTCTGGATGGGCTCTATATCTTCTCTTAGTATGAACAGCAAAACACAAGAAAGACAATCCTAATTGTGGAGTGTAATAATACAAATTTAGTGTGTATTTTGTTCTTCATGCTTTTTGAATATTAATTGAAGGAAGGAAAAAATTTCTGCTGGATTTTCTTTGTTTCCAGGTGAACTTGAGTTGCCATTTCTAGCATTACTTTTGGTGATAGTAGCTCCGTACGAGGCTATGAGATTAAGGTAAGCAAATCCATCTTTTTGAGGCCATCAAGCCTTTCTCTTTTACCTTATTTTCTCTTTTAAAAAAATAAAATTAAAATGCTTCACCATCTTTGTCTTTTTTTAGGAACACAAAAGAAGGTGCTGTAATTTCATTATTGATTGCGGTGTATTTGGCTTTCCAGCATTTCTCAAGAACAAGCTTGCAGAAATCATTTGACCAAGGTTCAATTGTTGCCACCTTAGCTGTCATTTGTATCACTGTTGCATCTTTGTTGCTTCTGATCTGAGTTGGCTTTGAAATGATGTACACTAATAATATGTTGTAAATAAGAATAATACCTGTCCGAACCATCTTGAAATATATAATAAATGAATATTACATTTGAACTGCGGCAAGTTAAGCATTCACATGTATTGAATGAGCAGTTGTGTTCATTTAAGTGTAAACATGTTGAACTTGTTAGGTATTATGTAAAAGCTAGCATCTGCTATATTTTTGGTGCTTTTATGTTGAATTTTTTTACCAAAGATGGCAACTAACATTATCAAGCAGCCATGTTTTTGTTGCATGACCAGATCACCTGTTAATATATGTAACTGTTGTGAACAAGGGAGATTTTTCCACAGTAGCCTTCTGAGCGTCCTGTTTCGCAACAATAACCTGTTTTAGACCAAACTAATGATTTTAAAAGTTCTTTAACGTAATTTATTATGTTCACTAAAAAAAATGGCATGCTAGCTGATGTTAGTTACAGGGTTTCTGTATGGAAGAGAAGCTAATACTGCAGAAAAAGTGTCTACAAGAACCTATAAATCCTGTTGGCTCTATCACTTTTTTGCGTTTTATGATCAACTAACAGCCATTCATAGATGAAAGGTAGAAGTAACTTTAATTGCAAAAGTTGTTGACTTTGACTCCTTGAAATTTTGCAAAAACTGCTGGAAGACTGAGTGAATTCCAGCGTATCACATAAAGAATGACTGTACTTGTTTCTCGTCTATATGTAATTTGCTAATTTAAGTGAAGCCAAGAGGCCACATGTGAACAGCAGCGGCAAGGAATAAAAAGTAGATGTGGCTTTGTTGGGGCTTCCTGTTGGTTCTGAACCGTAGACAGTTGATCCGCCGCCTGGCATTGTCATATCTGGTGTAGTTGGTGTCATAGGAGTCGGTGGACTAGGTGGGCTAACATATGTTGGTGGACTAATGCTGCACTTATAATATAATATATTAGGATGTATAAGATTACATCTTCATGTTTTTATTCATTATAGGGTGAAATGAGATGTAGGTGCTGCAAATTCTCACCTTGTTGTCCTTGCTGTAGCTGATGCATAATGACAGTTGCCACTACCTGTGACGATGTTAGATGTTATTTTCTATTTTAAGATAGAGAAATGCATACATAACAGACATGATAAAGTAGGACTTTGTTGACTGTCTAATCCCATTGAAAAACAACGAAATAAACGAAGCCCAGAATCCCTGGAGTCACAAATATGAATTATTTTGGTGAGAAAATGAGTTAGGCTGACAGCTGAATTTTTTAGGACATTCATTGGTTGCCGAGAAAGGGGTTTAGTGGACAGTTGTTGGACCTTCATCAGTTACTGAAAGAAATACATGATTGTAGTTGGTTTAATGGAAGGAGATTTATACTTGTCGTTAGTAATATTAAAAGTTCTATGGAATGACATCAATGGATGCCTTGTAGCTTGCACCACAGATGAAAGTATGAGTTCCTGACCTGTTACGATATGGGTACGGAGATACTGTAATTTTTAGATATAGGTATGGCACGATATATGATTAATATTTTTTAAGCTATATATTATTTGTGCATAAATAATACAGAAAAGTCCCAATAAGAAGCATCATGCAAGTTGTACGAGTAAACAACAAATCGCTACCATGGTAAAGGCATATTTAAGATAGAAACATGGGAGATGGGGTGATCAAACTTGAACAAATGGGTTATTTTTTCTGGTTTAAGTACCTAAACTGCCTCTCGTGTTTTTTAAATTTTTGCAAAAAAAAAATCTGCATTTTTTTTGGTATGTACTGGACATGACATATTTGTGGAGTTACCTCTGCCACACATCCTCGAAGATTTTGGATGCAAAATTTCTCGACCATTTTCAAGACGAAAAAAAACAATTTTAAATATTGTGTCACAGCTTAGAAGATGTTCACAAGTAGGTAATCAAGCTTATATTTGATGAAAGTCTTACTTGGATCATTGCTTGTAAGTGCTGCTGTTCCTCCAAACACACAACTGGTAGGCGTTGGATTCTTCTGGTAGTAGTCATTGAATGCATAAGAAGCATGGTCACGGACAGTATTAGGATTATAACAACTTGCTCCTGCTTGAATTGCTGAGCAGTCTGCACCTCCATACCCACAAGCATAGTCAAGAGCAACCTGTAGTGCAGTGTCCGAAGCTCCTTGGTTAGCAACACACCATTGACCACCTGATGATGCAGGAGTGGTCGTGGTTGGTGTTGTGGGAGTAGTTGTTGGTGTCGTGGGAGTAGTTGTTGGTGTCGTTGGGTTTGTGTTTGGGGTTGTAGGGATTTGCCCTGTTGTATCAGGTGCTTGAGGAGATGTAGGGTTTACTGTAGGATACGGATTTCCTGTGCCTGGAGTTGTAGGGTTGACGATAGGAACATCATCTAATTGAGTACCCAATTCCGATGATGAGAAGATTTCCTGTTTCTTATCATTTCTTAATATTTTGGCTGTACCTAGACCTGGAAATGAAACAGAAAAAGATCTTTTTAACTCATCAGTAGGACAAATGAGAAGAATTTGCTGAAATTGACCTAGTTAACCCATATTTGCTAACCCAAAATTTTTCTGTATTTGCATCCAAGGTGACACAACATGGATTAACTGATGTGGTTCCTGGATACATATTCATTCAATACTCTTGTGATTAACATGAGCTATATGTGGCCTTTATAAAGCTACCATCAATTTATGCAAATTGCACCTAATCAAGTTCGTTACATTGAATCTGAAAGTGTGCATAACTAGGATGTTAGAATTGGAAACTATCATCCTTCATGCCTGAAGATAAACTTCATATTTTCGATTGATAAATTCTGTGTACAGCTCTAAAGCTCTCAATGGCTTCAATTATATATTATCTCAATCAAAAGTTGGTTGTTATATATAAATGCTTGGGAAAGAATAATGAAATTGCTACTCCTTGTTAATGATACCTGAACCGAAGAGAAAACACAAGGTGAATAAAGCAAGGTGCCAACTTCTTGCAACCATTACTGCAGCTTGGCTTCTATGCTTGGATTGCAGATTTTTCCTTCTTGATATGGAACAATGTTTACAAGATTTATTAAACAAGGGCAGCAACTCAGGTGTTCCTGTGTAGAACAATTTTATTCTTTTAATCTATATCTTTTTATATTTTATATATAATAAAATCTTGAAGAATCATAGCTTTCTTGGATCAAAGATAGAAGAAAGAATATAACAAACTTGAGAAAGGAGGCATTGGATAGTTGAAATCAGCAAGCAAGAGAAGGTGCAACAAGAGGGGAAAAAAAAGTGCATGGCGAATGAAAAAGGCAAAAAGGTACATGATCTGTTTCATAATAAATCTGATGCTTGAGGGCTGCAATATATGTAATTAATATGACGGTGATATCTCTGCAACGTCCTTTCTCTTTTGTGCTACTCTTTTCTACTGTTTTATGGGACTGAACCAAAAGGTAAAGCCTATACACTCTGGTTTTGTTGCCTTTCAGGGTTTGTAATGAAGAATGTTGTCTCCCTGCTATTGTTTTTATCCCCCACCTCATAAGCCAATTTCTTTTCTCTGAATTAATAGTTCCTTGGAATGTTTTCGAAGTACGATTCCTTCACTAAGAAATTAAAGTTATGTGATTGCTGCCTTCTCCAACAAGAACTTGGGTTGATCATGTCATGCTTAAGCTACCTTATCTCAATGTTATAAGTCGTCTATTCCAGAACTTAAATAAAATATTTCTTCCATAAAATATTGAGAAAAAATGAGGGAAAATACAAGTAACAGAAAATGTATATACATATTTTTTTTAAAAAAAATAGAAAATTCAAAATGCAATGGGAAGCTGAAAAGATTCTCGAAGATGCAGTAAGGGTATCAAATCTCCGTAGATAAAAAAAAATAGTAACTCACTTGCAACAACAATGAAGAGAATATCAAAGAGAAGTCATAAGCGAAATCCTATCAAACAAGGAGTTTAGTGGCAAAGGTACCTTTGAAAATGCAAGCATTAAGCCACAAGTAGATACAGCAAAGATTTATAGAAATTACTCTACAAAATTTTAGCCTCCTTATTTTTATAAGCAGGTGCTAGGAAAAGGTAACGAAAAGTTTTATAACCAACCCAGAATGAAGGTGAAAGCATAGGACGACACAAATAAATGGTTATTGACTTAAATGTCCGCTGCATTGATTCATGTAACATTTCGAAAGTTGTTTTCCATATCTTTAGCATTTTTCTCTCTGAATTAGTTGTTCAAGTCATAACATCAAAGGAAAGAATCGTGATAAGAATAAGACTTTGCAACAAATTATTTTTAATATTAGCCTTTAATGATTATTAGAGAGAAATAGAAATTGTAATAAAAATTTAAAAGAACTCGAGAGCAAAAATTCTTTAGTACATTTCGATTATCATAGCTAAGAGGGGATGATTATATATTAGTAGAAGTTTGTGTAAATAAAATGTCATTAACACAATGTGAGTTGTGCTCCTCATTCAATACACAGACCTTTTTTGGTATTGGATACATTTTAGATCAAGGAAGCACGAACACTAGTAAAAACAGGAAGAGTCGGGTCCGACACGACGACATGTTTTGACACGGTGTCGGACACGCGGTTGACTTTTTTCGACACGTTGACCATTCCGACACGCGAATTTGACCGTGTCCGACACGGTCAAATGACATTTTCGTAATTTTTTTAATTTTTTTTAATTTTTTTTTTAAAAAAATATTTTTTTAAAAAAGTTAAAATATATTAATAAAGCTCCCACCTGATCATATCAATTTTATCTTTTTATCTTTTTTTTCCCTTAAGTAGATAATAGATCATCTCAGCATCATTGTTGTCAATTCCTATCACGCTCTTGTTGTATCTTCTTCTCTTTGATCTCTTTCTAATATGATTTGATCTCTCTATCTGATATTATATATCTCTCTCATCCCAGTTCTTATTTTTTTTATTAAAGCTTCCATCTTTATAACGTGTTGATGTGTATTATTAATTTAGTTTCATTTTTTTGTTAAATTGTTAAATATTAAATGAAATATACACTATATAAATTAAAAATATTATTTAATATTAAAACGTGTCCCAACGTGTCGAAATCCATAATTTTTTAGGATTGACATGTCATGTCGTATCACGTGTCGCGTGTCGTATCGGTGCTACATAGTTTTAGATAATACGAAAGTAAAATGCGGGGAATTTTTTTGTGCTAAACAAAGATATTTATATTTGATTTGAAAAGAGATTCTCAAAATTAATTATTTACATAATAGAGAATTCAACAATCACAAGCGGAGCTTTCAACACCATTTTATACGTTTCAAATAATTTTAAAATGCAAATCAACATCAACAAAGCATTTATTCTAAACTAATTGGAATAGATGACAGATGATTTCAAATGAAAATGCAATTAAAGTAAAAAAATTTAAATTATAATATTATCACTGGAAATAAAAAATTCTAAAAATTCAAAAACCATTGAAAAACCAACACACGCACACGGATTTTAAACCAACTATAAATATGAACTTGCCAGAAGATGAAAATGGAGGTCTATATCTCAAATAAGTATGTTGATCTGACAATGACCGAAGATGCAATGATATAGATCAAGGCTTGAACGAGTCACCATACTAGCCTCAAGTTAGCTAAGGGTGAAAAAAGGAGGCGAATTTGGTTCGGTTATGAATGAGGTAGAAATTTAGCAAAGTAACAATAAGCTTGAGTAATGAAGAAGATGACCCCCTTAACAAGGAGAGGCCCTTTGTTTCAAAGGTGGGGAAGATTCTCTCTCAGCATGGAGAATGTGATGACATAATAGTTTTAGTTAAAATCTCGATTTATCAGTATGATTTTATGTTTCTACAATTTATTTTCATTAAAACGATTGTATCAATATTCCAAAAGCTTTTATCTTTTTATAATTTTTTACGATTTTTTTACATTACGATTTTACGTTTTATGATTTTTTTATCCCACTTCCGAGTTTAAGTAAAATCTTAATTTTAACTACCTTGGTTTCAACCTTGTGGGGCCCCACTATTGTGAGGTTACATGACCCCTAACGTGGAAAATGTCATGTCTGCTTGGAAAATGTGTAACACCCCAAATTTTTAACAATTCTAAAATATTCTTAAAATAACAAAATTGGCCAAAATTTACATTTTATTATTTATTAAGATCTTATAAATAATGTGGAAGCCAATTTAGAATTAATTTGAAAAAATGTTACCGCCGCTTCTATAACAAGGACAAGTGCAAACCTAACTTTATCATAATCTCATACCCAAATATATTTAATGTAAAACTTCAAAATATAGGTCCATAGTCTAAGATTGACATAAAAATATCTTATACATTACCAACAAAGCCCGACACACTTGGTAGATAGCTGGGTCCTTTAAGTATGCTGACAGGGGTTCGATCCCTGGTCGTATGTATAGAAAAGGCTTTGTTGGGAGAGGTTGTACCCACGATCGTGTGATCTCTCCGCCTCGGGGGGATAAGTCCTTGGCTTTCGGATGGGGATACTCTTGGAACAATTTCCAAAAAAAAAATATCTTATACATTTATTAAACCCTAAACCTAATTTGAAATGTCTGAGACGTTATCCTCACTGCTAGCCCCAACCTTCACAACCTGCTCCCTGAGAGCCTTTGCTACCTCGAAGGATCATCGTAGCATACAAACACAAATAGTCAGCAAAAGCTGGTAATCACAATCCAAAGCACAATAAAAATAATCATAACTCAATCAATTATCATCATGCATCAATCATGATATTCCATTAAGGATAGTCATAATTCAACCAATAATCATAATCAACTTAATCATCAATCAAGATATTACTAATTTTATTAATTTAATTTTTATTTAGTGAATTTAGTGGGAAGAGAATCATGGTAAACAGAAACCTTGTTGCCAGTCTGCCCACGTGACTCGGGAAACTCTCTTTACCTTTTAAGTTTTGAGAAAAAAACTTATTTTAAGGAGGATAAAATATAATACCCCAAATTAATAATAATAATAATATAATAATAAAAAATAGTAATAATAAAATTAATAAAATAAAAATTAATAAAAAAAACTGGCCCGCAAATAAGCCTTAATCCAACGCGCTAAAATTATAGGGTTTTGGATGTTAGGGCTAAAAAAATCCCAACACTATTACAAAAATAAAAAATAAAAAAATCCTAACACAAAATTGGCTTAGTGGACTAGGGCTAAATACAAGGCTGTGCGATTTGGACCACAAACTTTAGCCCATTTTAACAACTTTACCCAAAATTGATTTGCTTGAAACTTCTAGGGGGCGTTTGGTTGGGGAGAAATATTTTAAATACTGGAAAAATGTAATTACTAGGGAAGTGGTAGACAAATGAGTTTGATAGAAAAGTTAAAAAAAATTGTTTGGTAGGTCAAAATTTTACCGAAAATATTGACACAATTTTAACATCAACTTTTTTATTTATCCTGCAAAATCACAATACCACCTGCTGGGTAGGATTTTTCTTTGAGAATTTGGTTTAAGATTACACACAAAAAATTTCCCATCAATACAATTTCCCCAGCATTTTTTGTTTAAGTGCTACCAAACATGATATTATTGAATGTCCATCCTCACTTCCCCATGTATCTTACAAAAATCCTCCAACCAAACATCACCCTAAACTTTTCTTAAACAATTATGCCCACTATTGTGTTTGTGTTCTGTTTTCAATTTTTTCCTCCTAATTTATAACCTAAGTATATATGATTTTTGTTTTTTTTTTTGGTGAGGAGTATATATGATTTTTAATTACACATGCTTAGTCAATTATGAATTTAGATTTTTTCAATTATTTGTATCACTCACGGTTATGATTTATGTCTTCTTTGAATCTTTATTATTAATAAGGTGTAGCTAATTACTATCAAGTCCACCCTTATATTTTAAAATGTTCTCCTTTAATATGTTTTTAAATTCTGATTAAATTAAGTATGCATGCATAATGTAATTACTTCCATCCCCCCACCCTTACCTTATAAATACCACTCTTCTTACCATCTAGTTCACAAGAACTCTTCCCTACATTCTACTCTCTGTTTGCCACTCTTTCCCACCACTCTCAAAGACAGTATAATTAAACACCCATCGCCATATTAATTAACCTTAATCTTATGTTCATATTCTTAATATATAATGGGTTTCCGTTCCTTTTTTGTTACACGAAAAAGTTGTAAAATAAGGCGGTTCAATCAACTTGACCCAAGAACTAACAAAAGAAGAAACGTGGCTATGAGCTCCCATGAATGAGATAAGCTACCTAGTTGTAGCTAGCTCATCGAGAAGAAGATAAGCTAGCTACTTGTAGCTAACTCCTCGCATTCATGGGAGCAAGTGTGCTCTCGTAGCCACTCTTCTTCTTTTGTGAATGGTCTTCTGTTAGTTTTAGGGTCAAGCTGATTGAACCATCTTAATCTACAACTTTTCCCTGCAATGAAAAAAGAATCAAAACCAATTATATATTTAAGAATATGAACATAAGATTACGATTAATCAATCATAAATTTGTGATTTAATTATAGTAACCGTGAGTGATGGGTCTATTTGGCTTAGGCAAATACATTACCAAAAATATATCCAAGAAGTTATTTTTAAGCATGTATTTTTTTGGGTAGGCTTATTTTGGAGTTGTGAGTATAAAACAATCCCTATTTAACCCAGACTAGCGAGAGTAGGGGTAAAAACAGCTTATACGCAGTCTTACCCTTACATATTTACAAAGAGATTGTTTCCTAGATTCGCGTTATCTTTCAATCATAAAGGAGTAGTTTTATCAAGATTTTCCCTCATAATTGTGAATATAATCTAAGAATTTTATATAACCTTTTTTATTACGTAATATTAGTTAATTCTTAATTTTTCAATTTCCTGATGTTCTGATTCATTAAACACTACCTCGTTTGTTTTTTCCAAAATGATTGAAAGTAATTTAATTGGCTTTTCGGAGTGAATAATAATCATAGTGGCATAATTTATTATTATTATTATTATTTTGCATAGTTATATCATTTTCGTTTAATAACATATGCATGAGGGAACAATTTTTATCTTGTATTTGATCACTTATAAATTCTTGTGTTATGAATTTGTATATAGTTGTGTCATCATATTGGAAATGTTGGATAACGTTTGATCATAAAAAAGGTGATAGTTGAAATTTTTTCTTTATAATTGGAAATGGATAATTAGTTTGATATGGATAATTTGAAATAATTTTAGAAGATCCATGGTAGAAAATCTCATAGACGTAGGTAATAATTTGGATGCACCTAGTTATATATGTATATTTTATTTCGAAAGGAGATAATTACCTGTTAGATAAAACTGTCACAGGAAAAGGTCTTTCCTTGGAGGGAAGGACCCTCAACGACATTGAGTTACCTTTCATGAAATGATATGATATGACTTAAAAATTGAGAAAAGAAATTAAATATCATCTTATGGCACCCTTCTAAAGGAAAGATCACCCTTAAAAAGAAAAGGCTGTTAGTGGTATAGAACCTCATCAAATTTTGCACTCTCCCGTATGACCCGTTGGTATAAATATATACAATATTTAAATAAATTTATATATGTATTTGGACTTTCTTATTTTATATCAAAAGAAGCTTACAATAAAGGAGTCAACAAACTATGTAAAGAATTTTGGGATACACCATCCCAAAAGCTAGCTCAAAGAGTGAGAGTGCCCAAGGCCTTATAAAGGTCACATTAGTTGCACATACAACCAATATGAGACTATATATCTCAACACGCCCCCTCACACGAGAGCAGGCTCTGATACCATGTAAAGAACCTTGGGATACACCACCTCAAAAAGTGGCTCAAAGGGTGGGAGTGCCCAAGACCTTATAAACTCCACATTAGTTGCACATACAACCAATGTGGGACTATATATCTCAACAATGCAAAGAACCTTGAGATACACCACCCCAAAAGCTAGCTCAAAGGGTGAGAGTGCCCAAAGCCTTATAAACTCCACATTAGTTGCTCATACAACCAATGTGGGACTATATATCTCAAGAAACTATGCGGCTAATATGATACATTGATGCAAAAAAGAAATGGTCGCTACATTTCAAGGCTATAAGCTAAGTGGCTAATATGATACATTGATGCAAGTTAAGGCACCTCCCTTGTTAACATCATAAATGAGTCAACAAACTGAAGAATTACAAGCAGTAATAATTTGCAATTTCCATTTCATCATTGTCAATATGGTAACGAATTCTTTACCAATAAAGTAAAGTAGCACTTTCCCATGCAATTCAGACAATAAACTAATAGGTGTGATACACCTTAATATATAAAAACAAATGGAAAACTTGCAAGGAAAAGAAGAAACAGGAACATAGTGTCAAAAGGTTTATAAAAATGAATAACAAAGTTTCCTATGTTAGCAAAGTATTAAACCCAAGTTGCTTCGGTTCTGAACTGGCTTCTTGGATTCATGCTTCCTGGGCACATTCCTTCTCACCTCATAACCACTATTCAGTTCATCTAGGATGGAACAGTTACAAATGCTCCAAAGCCAATCCCTTATGCAGTTACCAACCAATATTGGATGTTAAGTATCATTGTAGTCAAGAAGGCTAGGCAGACAGTTCAGGCATATATCTATTATGAACCTGAAATTTTTAGATATACAAGGCAGCTTCAAGCATGCAGATTCTTCAAGAGTTCCAGATTAATTGATAAACCCGAAGCAAAAGATTGCATTGGAATACCATAGAAACTATTTTATCCTTGCCGAAGCATACTGCATTTTGAAAGGTGTTGGCTAACATCATCCCAAGCTGCAAAATATGGGGCTCAGATCATGAGAGCCATATTACCATTTCACTACGAAGGAGAAAAATAAAAACAAGCCACTCCCCATCAAACCCCAACTTGTGAGGATGGGTGTGATGGAAATTCTTGAACGCAACCTTAACTCTTGCATTACTTGCAAAGAGGTTGTTTCTTGTATTAGAACCTGTGACTTGTTGGTCACAATAAAGCAACTTTATCACTGTTCTAAACTCGCCCTCTTAAGGACTAAAGAAAGAAAACAAGAAAAAATAATTATACCTGGAAGTTTCTGGAAGTCGGGCTCTATTCCGTTGCCGTTTATGTCCTTGTGATTTGGGGTTACATACTTCCCGACAGTAATAACCACACCGGATCCGTCGTGCAGCTCAAATACAGATTGGATTAAACCCTGTTAGAAGCATTGCACATGGAAGTGAGGCTGTTACAACTACACCACATGCGGCTAGTAATTTTACATGTACAAGGCCATACAACCTTTTCATATATGACAAACCACATAAACATCAATATAACTTTCTTCTATTAACTTTTTAGTAAGGGAGGTAGCATAAGAAAAGAAAACCTTTTTATACAAGGATAGAGATAATCAGGCCATGCCAATGAAAGTAATGCTTAACATTGCACGGTCTTTGCAGTACTCCTTCAAAATGATATGCACCATAACATAAAGCTAACGTGTTCAAAAGAAAAATGCATTCAAATGGACTTGGAACTCTCAGAACAAGAATGCAGATGAAAACAATGCAGACACGCTGTTTGAACAATATAGCAGTGACGAAAAAATTCATGAACCTTGCCAAATGTGCGTTTTCCAACAAGAACAGCTCTACAATTATCATGAAGTGCAGAAGCAACCTGAAATAAGTATAGCATGTATAATGGTATCATAAGAAGTAAGAGCTGAAAATTCAAACAAATGTATTAAGAAATTGAGCTCCTCACTATTTCACTTGCACTAGCAGTTTTGTCATTTACTAAAACCTGCAAAAATACAAGCCAAAAACTCATAAGCTTTGTCATGAAGTCTACAAAATGAGAATTCCAATAATCAATGACATGTAACGGCCGTTCAAAAGGGGACTATTTTAATGCCAAAGCCAAAAAGCAAATGAGAAGTAGAAAAAATTCCTAGAAGTTGATTTAATAACAAAAAATTTCAGATGTAGTAAAGTTTTTACAACAACAGGAGCTTGAACCAATGGGGAAGTATCAGTAACAATAGCTGTCTGGAACAGGGGATCTCTCCCAACGGTGTAGATGATCTGTCATGAAGACATTAGAAATGGACAAGTCTATGTTAAGAAACCAAAATATATTCAAAAGAACAATTGTAGAAGTATTACCAAGACAGCGAACTATCTTAAGATCAATGTATCCTACAGTACAATAAAAAAAAAAAAAAAAAAGTAACAACTACACATACAATTTCTAACGAAGAATTCACATGACGGTACATAATAGACATCAAATAAAGTATATAATGTCCAGAAACCAGAAAAGGATGTCAAGCCAAAGCAATTGGAGAAGTTACTACTTCAGCTTTGCCAGAATATAAGCTACTATCAACCTTTATATTTTATTAAAGGTAATAGTAATGCTGTCCAGAAAAGCATTTTACCACCCTACAACAACACAAACAACATCCCAGCATCTGCTTGCTGGGATCAGACACATAGACTAATTGATGCCATTAAGCTCTATCAACAACTATTTTTTCATTAAAACCATTTAAACGTTCCACATGGACATCTCTTCGGGTGGGGGTGAGAACTGCCCAATCTGCAGCTTACACATTAGCTGTATTTGATACTAACAAGTACATAAACATTAACATTGCCTTTATCCCAAACTAGTTAGGGTCGGTAGTTGATGAATTCATATAAAAGCAAGAACATATTAAGGAAATGTTTGAAGGGGATACACAACAATTTACCCTAAATATAAACCATTTCAATCAGCATCGAGCGCAAGATTGACATACCGTGTCTCCTTCACTTAGGAAAAGCTTTGCAATTTCAATTCCAGCCTGAATGAGTTAAAAGATATAACCAAATTAGGGAATTTCAAGAGGCCAAAAAAAAAAAATACATTCAATTCAATGCATGCATCGTTTATCTTGTTATCTTACATCAACCAAAGCATATTTCAGCACAACTTAACAGAGGGATACAAAATTTACTTAAATCTCTTGAAAATTCCTTGTCGGGTCCATGGGTTTTATGATCAACTCATAAGCTGGGCCATGCTCCAAAATAACAAATACAATCCAATTTATAACAGCAATAATTTAATGATGACTTAGGTGATACACCATTTGTTCTTTTTCCAGATTAGGGACACACTAAATTGTTTTATTCATACACATTAACCAGATTATCATGTTCGTTTTATAAGTTATAATGGATAAAGCATTTATTAAATAATTCTCCGGACTAAGAGTCCCATATAAGTTGTAAATTTTTTATCTCTTGATTGTAATTAAGAAAACTTAATGTAGGAGAAGGAAAGGAACACCTTTCAACCCAGGAAGAGAACCACTTGAAGATCTAAGTGAATTTTTTTAATGTTTTTAAGTTCATAGCAGTAGATATCAAGAAAAAGGGGGCGAACCGGAGCAGTGGTAAAACTGTTCTTTCATAACTGAAAGGTCATGGGTTCAAATCCAAGAAATAGCCTCTTTGCAATTATACAAGGGTAAGGCTACGTACAAGGATTTCCTCCCCACACTCGCTAGTCGGGTTTAACATCGCAAGCATGGATCAAAGACGGAATCTCCAAAACTCTGGAGAAGAAGCAAGCTTCAACGCTCCCCAAGACAACAGAGCCATCATTGTGGGCAGGGTCAGGAACCACAAGAATCCTGAGTTAGAATGGGATTCCAACTCAGCACCTTCGGCCGCGCAGTACGTACTTCTGTTTGGAGAAACTGTAACTCCGCATTCATTAGCTCTTTTTTTTTTTTTGTAGTAGATATCAAGAACTAGGAGACAACGAGTATGTACCTATAAGTGACTAATGCTTCCAAATCTTGGTTGGAGTCAATCTTAAACTACAAAGCCTATCTGTCTAATTCAAATTTGACGAAGATTATGCATAATATCACAAATGCTATCACTATTATGTAGTTTACTTGATAAATTGAATGCATACAATTTTTACTCAGTGGCAAGGAGTGTTTTCCCATTGTTTCTACATTCAATTATTTTTAGACACTAACTCAAAAAAGAGAAGTGCAGTACCCAAGGCTCCCCCCACTGTAGGATTTGTCAAGGGTAAGACATATGAAGGCGGCTGCAGGCCAATTTGGATGAAAGACCATCAAAATAGGAAGACAAAATTGGAGAAGACCAAAGTACCAACCCAATTGTGTATGGATAACCTGGGATGCCCCTCAACTAAGTCTAGCAACCTTACCATAGCACCAAGACTTAACCCCACTTCGTTTTTCTATTGTTTTCATTTATTTAGACACTGACACCACTGAGCCTTTTTTCCCAATGCTTTTCTTTCTTCCTTTGGAGGGTACTGTGAAAAGATGATGACAAATGGTTTTACATGAGCTGCATTTCCTTGGAACATATGTTTGGTATTTACATACTTTCATGAGTTTTCTTAAGAAAATAAGGGGGAGGGGGACAAAAGCAATATGGCCATTTATCATCAATAGAAGCAGACCAAAAAATGCATTTTCTCTCAAGCACTACTTACACACCATCCTGTAGAAGCCTTGGCAAACAATATAAGAAACTCACTACTGTAGTCAATTTCAAAGAAATGAATCAAAATGGAAGAAGTCGAAAGGGTTATATCGGAAAGAAACCTGTACTAGCCCACCAAGATTGTCTCTAAGATCCAATACGAAAGAGGAGGCACCCATGTCTTGAAGTCGCTTCATTGCTGCAAAATTCATTATTCATTCTGGTGTGATTGTAAGTCACACATAAAAAACTGGAAACAACTAATGAAAGAGTCCAGAAGTAATAATATCAAACAAGTAAATATAAGGATCCAAAAAGTTGCAGCTTTACTGTTCAATTATTCTTTGAAGTTTGTATGGTATTCACTATTACATTAGTTACAAGCACTAGATGATATATTTTAACACTACAAATAAAATAAGGAGAATAAGAGACCCCCAGAAGATAGTGGTTGAGTTAGTCAGAGGAAATAGGTGCCCTTAATATGCTAGAGGGTTGTAAGTTGTAATGCCTTGAGGCAAGAATTGCCAAAAAGCTCAGGGCTTACTAAAGAAAAGCATTAACATTAGAAAAAGAAAAAGCTAAAACATTTACATAATTTTGCATAGATTTTCTACATACGAAATTATTCAATCATAACATTTACTGATTGTGGCCATCAGTTGACTTCTAAATCAGACATGGTAAAAGTATAGAACAGAACCCTAGAGCATATTGTATTCCATTCTTTTCAAGTAACATGCATATATTTTTTTCAAAACTTCAGAATATTTCAGTAGTAAGTTTGTTCCAAAATTAAGAACATAGCAAGTTTCAGAGTAAGAATTAGTAACAGAAGATTGCTAATTTTTTCTACTCGTTTGAAAACCAGATACATATGAAAAAGCATGCTCTCATTGAGAAAGCATCATTCTTTTAGTTTAAACTAGAAAAATAAAAATAAAAATAAAAGATATGAAGTTAAATAAAGCTGACCAACGACTAAATCTTTTCTGGCTAATGCATTGAATTCTTTGAGGCGTATGTACCCAACACGAGTAGCACCACTGTCTGTTTGTTCCAGCCGATAAAAAACTGGTGTACGTGCAACAAGTTGCCGCTGGACTTCTATTGATTCAGCAGGTCCACAGTTGCCATGCTTGACCTGACAGTAGTAATACCAATATTAAACTTGAACATGGAAAAATATAAAAATTAAAACTACAAACAAAGGCTAGTGCAGGTGCCAAACTAACTTGGAATCAAAATCCAAAACCTGAATAGTCACAGATGTTCCATTAGGGCCTTGTAACATGGATGATACTTCAAATGCTGATTTTCCCTTTACCTCCATGTTATTGACAGTCAATACTTCATCACCCTAGCCAAGAAACAGAAAAAATAAACGAAACCTATTATATTATACAAAATAGTTCTTTGTAAAGATGGGGAATGGAGGTAGTTTTGAATGGTCAAAAGGACCAAATAAAAATTTGGTTTAGCTTTTCTTCACTGCAAACCAATGTTGGATATAAGGAATAACAAAGAAGTTTTTGATAAAAGTGTCTTGATAACCATGCACATTAGCATTGACAGCCATCTAAAACAAACAGGTTGATTACTGAACAGGTAAGTAAGGAGACACCAGGAATTTCTCACCATATAAAGAAGTGTAAAATTAATGAAATATATATATATATATATATATATATATATATATATATATAGAAATCAGTGCAGGAAAATGTCAGAATTAGGAGGAGAAGAGAAGGGGGGAGGGGGAGGCTAGAAAGCAGGTCTCTGACATTTTTGAATTTGCAACTAGAAAATGAGCATGAAACAATATTTCTAAAGAAGACATAATAAATCAGGGCAATGGGTTCGATTCCTGAGAGTTGCAACTCCTGAAGAGGGTGAAGAGACTCAAACACGAAACCGAATTAGTCGAGTCCATTCGGACTTTGGAACCGGTTGGCATCTACCAAAAAATAAAAAAGATGACATTATAATACCACCCCAAGCTGAAATTTTGACACACAGAGTTATATAGCCCCAGAAATGAGTTCTACAACTATAGTAACATCAAGAATCAATTGAAAACAAAAATTTGTTATGAAAAAGCATAATTTTTAAAAGACGTTAGGAGGGTAAATTTGTAGAGTCATCTTCATCTACCTGTCTCACACCAGCAGAATGAGCAGGACTATCCAATATGATTCCCAGTACCTTCATTCTGATGTCTCCATTTTCATCGGGAACTTCCCTAAGGTTTATTCCAATACCAGTCATATCATACCTCGCCATCTTGGAGAACTTTTAAAAGTGAAAAAAGTCCATATGCCGTTAAGTAAGAAACATGAGAAGCACAGTAGTAGAAATTACAGAGGTTTATATATCATCATGTATAAGCAAAACGAAGACCTGTGAAGAGAATGATAATACAAGAATGTAGTACAAGTTTCTTATTTAACGTAATGAATGTCTTAGAAGAATCCAACTTTTTGAAGGGTGGCAATTTGGATTTTGGAGAAATATATGCATACATGTGTTGGAAGATATGGGCATGCAAGTGTTCAACAGGAGAAAACACAGTAATACAATAATCCATTGTCAATTCAAGCCATGAGGCAGGTACCCCAGAGACATCAAATAAAAAATAAAAAAACACTCCTTATTAAACCCCAATTAGTTAGGATAAGGGTGAGACCTGAGCCTTGCATATTTGGAAAGAGGTTGTTTCTCGCATTCTAACTCATCCATAGATATCAAATGATAGAAGAAAAACCTTCACAGAGAAGGAACCTTGAAAATAGAAGAATCAAATACCTCCTCAGGGGAAAGAAACCGTGTATAAGGATCACTCAAACTGGCCAGCATTCGCTTGATGATGTGGTGTGCCTTTGATCTTGTCTGAATGGAATTGCTCAAAATATCTTCCCTCTTCAGCTGGAAAACAAGAACTGCTATTAGCATCAACCAACCATCGTAAAGTACCATATATTGGTATTACAATACCAATGAAGTAACACAGGATAAAGCAGCAAACTTGGATAGGTAAAGTAATTTATGAACTTATCTATGATGAAAAAAAAAAAAAAAAGCTGCAAAATTTTGATGTGATGTTGTTACCTGCCAAGTATCCTGAGACCAACGGTGGCGACCAGTGTCAAGAAAGGTATCATTGACAATCTGCCAAGCTTCCTCAACAAGTCCTTCATTGGTGACAACCTCGGGACCCGTTTGAAGCATGTCTTGTTGTGGCTGAACATCACGACATGTTTCAGAATAAAGAGTTGGAAGAGAAGGGGGTTGAAGAGCAAAGGCAGAAGGCAAGGAGAAGAGGAAGCCAAAGGAGAGGGCACCAGAGAGAGCACCAAGAACAGTGTGGTGAACCCAATTGGAGCAAAGTAATCTGGGATTGCTGGGAATGTGAAAAAGTTGAGGTCTTGATTGTGTTACAGTGGTGGAGGGTGGTGTAAGCTTGAGCCACACACAACCATTCATCTTCTCCAACTGCAACTGCAACTGCAACTGATGTGGAGATTGATATTGTTACTGTTCCCAGTTCCCACTTTGTTGCACTCTAACATGTATCTATTGAAAAATTTGTGTGGCCACTTCACTTGATATTGTAATCAATACGAAAGTGGATCCCACTGATATAACACCAATAATATCCAAATCTATTTATCTACATATGCTGTCTTCAATAATGATTAACAAAATTTCAAAAGGCCAAATAGAGAGAAAATGCAAATTAGGTCATGAAACTTTAATTATAAAGATTCATAAATTTTAATAATCATTTTATTTCGGTATAAGTTATATTTTCAATCTTAATTATTGATTTTATTTATGTCTAACGGTTCTGATTTATTAGATATTTGAGCCATTAGATTCAAGTAAATCAATTATTAAAATTTAGTGTAAAACTTCTTATTTTTAACACTAGTATAAAAATATCATATCTCATTTAATATTTTAATATTTTGAATTAATATATAGTGTTAAGCTCAATATTATGATAGTTTGTTGTTTATCCCATTAATAAAGGTTTAAAGCTATAAATTTTTTAAGTGAAAAAAGTATCTAATGTTACTTTAGACAATTTTATCTAATGTTTATCGAAACAACATTGTTTTAGGGAAAAAAAATTAAAAAACTAAAATGATAAAGACTACTATAACACTAAAATAAATTAAAATTACAAATACACTATGATTTTTGTTCCAAAATAACATATTTCAGTGAATATTAGATAAAATTATCTAAAATAACTTTAGAAAAAACAAATCCATTTTTTAACTATAAAAAAACTATAAATGTTTTATATAATGTAGATGGGCGACAGGTCTATATATTATTTATAATTCTAGTAAAAAAAAACCTTTTGTGTGAAAGATATGTTAAAAATATGGGTTTTATACTTCTTTTATTATTGGAGAACTACTGCCTTGTGCGAGAAAAAAAAATGTGGGACTCACGTATTTAAAAAAAAAAAAGAGTCAGCAAGAGCACGAGAAATTCATTGCCCTAAAATATAATATAAAATTATTCCTTAATCCAAAATTTGTTTGTGATATAGGATAATATTTTATATTATTAGTTGACATATAAATTAAAACATTATAATATTTATGGATAAAAATATAAAATTTAGTATAATACATTTTAGCAAATACTACTCTTGTTTTACATGAGATAATTATCTCATTTTCTCTCACTTCGAAAATTGCACCCTCTCTTTTTTCTTTTTCTTTTTTACTTTTTAATGGTAGCCCCACTTGAATCTCTCTATAGCATGAGAGAACTACTATAATGTAACATGAGAATAATATTCCCCATATATTTTATGGTCCTAAACCAAGCTCTAGGAGACGAATTAAAAAAAAAAACCAAAAAATAATTAAAGAGATAAATACTTTTTATTCATTTTATGGTTATGATGAACGTATGAACTTATCTACCTCATCATTTTTAGTAACAACTTGAAAAATACCTCGCTTCACTCCCTTCACTGCCATGCGATTTTCTGCCTTCAATTGGTTTGGTTTCTCTGCCAATTTCTGACTTTTCTTTGCATTTGCATTCCAAGCTTCAGACTTCAGTTCAGACAGGTAACCCAGCATTTCTCTTTATTTCTTTTAGTTTTCGATTTCTCTGCTAAACTCTTTTTGTGCATAATGAGTCTTTCATGTTTGTGTAATATCTTCAATCAAGATTGAATTTTTTTCTTAAGCTGCATGACTTGGAGGCTTCCAAAGTTATTGCAATATGTTGTCAGTATTTCTTCTTGATATTAGTAGGTTAAAGCACAATTTCATTTAAATTTTTCACATTTATTGTTTGATGTAAAATCTGCACTTGCCAGTAACATTTATCAGTTTTAAAACTCATGTTACATTGTAATTCTATGTAGTTAAAGCTGATGTCAGTTCCACTCTTCAAGCTTGCTCCTAATCTCACTGTTTCAAAGCTCTGCTTAGGTGCGACCTCATTCACCCACCCTTCAAACAATTTCTTCTCTCTTTTTGAATTCAGCTCACACTTGAATTCTCCCAGGAACCATGACTTTTGGGGAGCAGAACACTTTGCCTCAGTCATTTCGCCTTCTTGATGAAGCCTTTGATGCCGGCATCAACTTCTTTGACTCTGCAGAAATGTATCACCTTTCTTTCTCAACCGTTCATGTTGTCTTGTGATTTAAATTTCTGTTATTATATTTGCACTGCTACTGTAGGTATCCAGTTCCTCAGCGTGCTGAGACTTGGGGGAGGAGTGAGGATTATCTTGGCCGTTGGATTCGAGAAAGAAAAATCCCCAGGGATCGTGTTGTAATTGCATCAAAGGTTTTGTATCTGTGAATACGTTTGAACTTAAATGTCATTGTTTTTGTTTATTGATCGAAGCCGCAAAGAGGGGCTGGGAACTAAGGCTGTTCAAATATGTGCATTGGCAAAAGAAAAGTTGTATCTTTTAACTCAAATGCACTATATATTTAGTTTTGTCTGTTTGCTTATAGTTAGACCTAATGCTTGCTTTGAGCTTTCCTTTTGACCCAAGTCTTATTTAAGATGTCGAAACTAATGTAAAGGGAGTACAAGTTAGTCCTTACCTTGGTAAAAGTTCCAACTATGAATGGCTTACTAAGTTGTTTAGTTGTATAGAGATTGCCTACCTCTGTTGCATTGGAGGCACATCTGTAATTGCAGCTAGATTTAAAAGGCTTATTGTTCCAGAGTTGTGTTTCTAACACCATCTGATTGTTTCTGTATCTCCATATTTTTGTGGCCTGCTCATTAATCTCATCACATATCCCGATGTGTGCGAGAGAGAGTTCATCATTAGTGCATGAGCCTTCTTCAGGTGAATAATATACTTGGTGAAGATATTCCACATGATGTGATTTCATTTGGGAATAATTTTTAAACTACACTTGACATTTACATGGATCTCAGTACTACCATCTAGCATATTGCTTCTTTTTCTCTTTTTCCATGTAACCGTTGTTTATTTTAATTGCACGTATGTTGCCTTACCCAATGAGCTCATTTGTTTAACTGAAACTACTATGAACTTTGTACAGGTTGCTGGACCATCTGGGCAGATGACTTGGATTAGAGGTGGTCCAAAATGTTTGGATGCCAGCAATATTATTGAAGCTATAGATAATAGGTTAGTTGCTCTCGTAACTCTTTCTGAATTCACACTCTTCTTGTTATGTTACGATAATTTTGTATATCTTCTAGTGGAATTATATAAATGGATAATATGCAGAGTAAAGTTGATGCTGTTTGCAGTAACAATCTCAATGACTATCCCCCAGTTTATAACATCAGAAAGCTGGTGGACAAGTAATCCTTGTAGAAACCATCTTAATATAGAAAAATAGACCAAAAACAGATCACTGCAATACCCCAAGCATGTCTTTTTAAGAAACCCCCTAAAAACATCAAGATTTTCAGTTGGACTATCTTATAAAAAATCAAAATCAAAATCAAAAGTTCGAAACAATAGTAATGGAGTTTTAGATTATGATGACTCGTGATATACACTCACCCACACAGACATCTGAGAGTGGGGGGGAAGGGGATATAATATGGTAATTAAGTTTGCATCTATCAGTTCTCTGCCAGATATTAAATTCTGACAGTTTTGTTATTGAATTTATGCAGTTTGTTGCGGATGCAAGTGGATTATATTGATCTTTATCAAATTCATTGGCCTGATCGGTTTGTATGTTTTTGTTAGCTTTAATATTTGGAAATTTGTTTGATTTTCTTTTACTATCACATTTTGGCCAGCTTTCTTATTTTTGTTTATATATGAACACACGTATATAGATTTTAACTCTTGAAACGTTACAACAATCCTTGTAGCTATGTTCCAATGTTTGGAGAAACCGAGTATGACCCAGTCCGACAATACCCTTCAATTAGTATAGACGAACAACTTGAAGCTCTCAGCAGAGCTGTGAAATCTGGGAAGGTAAGTGGTATTGTCGAGTAGTTTCAACTGTCAACCTTTCAATATTATAATTCCTGAATCATGAGTATGAAAATGAGTGCATTTTCTTTGCAGATCAGATACATTGGTCTTAGTAATGAAACACCATATGGTGTGATGAAGTTTATTCAGGTTGCTGAAAAATTTCCTTCTTTCCCAAAGATAGTATCTTTGCAGGTTTTATCACTTACTACCATTCAACTCCTGCTATACTTTTCGTTTTATTTCCATCATGAATCCATTACCCTCAACCCTGCAATTCCATTTATGAAAGTTTACTTCTGATACTAATTTTCTTCTGTTTAGTGACAGAACTCATATAGCCTGCTATGTAGAACTTTTGATTTGGCAATGGCTGAGTGCTGCCATCAGGAGAGGTATTTAATATTATTGTTAGATTTAAATCATATTTGTGTCTTCACCCAACAGTTTAAGATTTTTCGATAGTTGGTTGATAACATGGTAACAAAGCTTCTTTGACTAAGTGGTCTAGAGTTCGATCCTTATTGCCCACATTCTTCATGATAAAAGTAAAATTTAGTGCAAGGTAGGGTGGACCGGTGTCCGGTGCATTGTCCATGGTTTAAGCCCAAAGGACTCTTGCGTGAGGGGCAAGTTAGATATAAAACCATTTTGTCTTCACCCAACAATTTAAACTTTTGGGATAGTTGGTTCATAATAATTAAAATATAAGTTTGATATTACTTGATTTTAGGCTTCCTAAAGGATACCTATCTCTTGTTAAAGTATATTCTGAGAAGTTATGACTCGGCTTGATATGTAATCTTGTGGGTTATTCTTGGGGACATAGTTGAAAAGGCATGATAGAATGAACATTAGCAATCAGATTTATATATTTAATTCAGCTTTAACAGAAGCAGAGTGGTAAAATTCCATTTTCTGTGGATGGATGGAGCAATGAAAGCTTAGTGCATGAAAATTTCTTTATGATGCTTACTACATTTGTAATATGATCATAAAACAAAATAATTTTCCTGTGTTTTTAGTGAAAGCCTTATTGTTAAATAATTGATTTCTCTTTTCAGTATTAGCTTGTTGGCCTACAGTCCCCTGGCAATGGGTATACTTTCAGGGAAATATTTTTCCCCTGGTGGTGGTCCAACAGATGCTCGATTAAATCTTTTTAAAGGTTAATTGACATATTGTAAAATATGTTTTATTTTTATCAATTATTTTCACCCCATGCCCACCTTCCCAACATGAAAGAAGGAAAAAAGGGAAAAAGTAAGCTATGTGCCTGGTATTCTTGAGTTTATCTAACTGATACAATTGTTATTCACAGGAAAGTATTCAGAAGGAGAATCCAGATACAACTTATCCAATAATGTTATAAAGGAAGCTGCTGGGGTAGGTGGATTTTCCTCAACATTTTTGCAATGCTAATATTTTGATTAGCTTATCGGAATGTGAATGTCACCTGTTGCTTAGCTTTTTAAAGCACATTTTTGCATGTTTTGAGTAGCAGTAGCATATTGGAATTTTGCTTGGTTTGAGAGCTTCTGATGTGATTTGAATGAGGAAAATTGTTTAATTTTAACTTATAGCACATTTACAATAGTAGGGTAGTATTTCCTTTCATAAGAAATTTGAGTGAAAAATGTTGTGCACTCTTGTTACCAGATGAATAAATGTCTTTTTTTTTTGTTGGTCTAAGAATATCTTGACTTCCAGCTTTTCTTCCGTCTTCTTATTTATTATATAAAGCAGAACCTTATGGTTGACTGTTGTTAATTAGAATCTCTTGCTCCTAGTTATTTCTTCTGTTCACTATTTTTAATCTCCGTAACCATATTTTTCCCTTTTTTGCAGGAATACCTTAATATTGCAAAAACATATGGTCTTCATCCTGTGTCTCTTGCTATAGGTTTGATTACATTTTCCTCTATCTTTTCCTATTTCTTTTGTGTGATAATTACAGCTCTGTTATTTGCATGATTCCAAACGTATCGGTATCAGATATTCAGATCTGAAATCATAAGGCCCATATTGATTAACATGGTCTATTTTATCCTTATTTTTGTTCATGTTCATGTTCTTGTTCTTGTTTTTGTTTTTGAGCAGCCTTTGTTTTGAGACATCCTCTTGTTGCTAGTGCCGTTTTTGGTGCTACCAAATCATGGCAGCTCCGGGAGGTTCTAAATGCATGCAAGATCGAGCTCGCATCTGAAGTAATTGAAGAAATTAGCAAGATTCATTCAAGGTTTCCCAATCCATGTCCCTGATGAATGCAAATGATTGACAATTTGACATGGCATAGATTGGTTTTATTAGTTTTTATTCTAAATGCATTCCCAGACCATAGGCTATGTTGACATGGCATACGTAACGTGGATAATTAATTTTATATAAATTAAATCATTAGTTTTTTTTATAATTAAACTGATAATTTTAAAGTAATAATTAATTAGTTAAATTTAAAAATAGATTGATTCGTAAAAAAAAAAAATTAAGTAGATAACTATGAAGCAAAACATATACACAAAACTACAAAGAAAGACTAGTCATTGTAGAGAAAGATACACCTGCTAAATCACCTCTCAACTACACGTCAGCAACACAAGAAAAAATATCTATGATGAATAAGGTTTCAAATTCTTAGGAATTACTGCATCTGGCTGAACAATCAGCTTATCTATAAAGCGGAATGTTAGCATGTACTTCGACATTTTTTTTCAACATTTTAATTTATGGGATTAATATTTTTTATATTATAGTAGATAATTTTATCTGCTAAATATATAAAAGTGTATTGGATTCATGTGAAGATATGTGAAGAGAAGAGAAGAGAAAAAAATATATGGGTTTTATATATTTTTATGTGTATTTAGAAAATAAAATTATTTCTTAAAAAAAATTAAATCCTTAATTTATTAGATAAAATCTTATACAGATCTCACTCAATAATTTGGGTCTACACTCTACTAATAGAACTAGCATAAGATTGTTTAACCAAAAAAAAAAAAGAACTAGCGTAAGATTTCATTTAGTAAAGATTTTTAAAAAGAAAATATTTACAAACATTTTTACTGTATAAATAATGGCTCGAATCTCTCCCAAATAATTCATGAATGCTATAATAATGGAGAAGGCTCCCTGTTATCCCTTATAAATTAAACTTATATTAATTATGCAAATTAAGGATAAGTACTACTTTATCACAATTGCCAAGGAATAACCTATTAGTTGAGTTAGACTCCTCCGAGAGAGAGGTCTAATGAGTCACAAATGTCACACTTCCCTTAGACCATTTGTATACGCGGTTTATACGTAATAAGTATCAATCATTATTGTGCATTAATATATTATTGTGGGTTCCACATCTGTAATGGACATTATTCGTATGACTCCTATGACCATTTGAACCTCACTTTGATCATTCAATGAATAGATACCATCTTATCCATTTCTCTTTCCGTTGATATATAATATAACAAGTGTGTTTTCTTTTCTTTTTTAAATTAAGATATGTCACAAGTTTAATCACAAGGAAAAAAATTTCAACCACCATATTAGGATTGACAATTGTGACCCATCCAAATAATCTAAGAAATAAAATTTATTCCTAATTCAAATTTTATGTTTCTTTTACCGGCGTCTAATAATATATTTTAAAATTTGATAATTTTGTGAAGGTGTAGCCTGGTAAACATGGGCAATTTTGAAAAGCTCCCTTTTGATAGTTGCTCCATATAGTTAATATTTATCATTTTGGGTTTTTTTATAGGGAATAATCCGTTTACAATTTTTTTTTATAAATTTTTACAAATTAAACTACTTTCAGAAAAACATAATGTAACCTAGTGTTTTTCTAAGAAAACATAATGTAGTTTGTAAACAAAAAATTTATAAATATAATTCTCTCTTTTTTTATATGTGCATTACTTTCATAATTTCGATCAGATGTGGTGAAGGGTAGAAATTTTCTTAAGAATAATTGAACTTATAATTTTAGAATTTAAATAATCACTTTTAACCTCGGCGACCGATATCTATTAAATTTATTTGAATTTAAGTACATTAACAAAGTGTCACTTTTAGTGTGACAAGCTACTTGTATTTATCTTGCACGGATTGCATTGAAAATTTAAAGATTTTTATTATTGAATTAATTTTATAAAAATCTAAAATGTCACTACATTCATCTTAATAAAAAAATTAAAGTTGTAATATAAAATGGTAAATTTAATGTTTGTTTTTGTTTTTAAAAGGATATTTAAATGGAAAAAATGTTTAAAAGCATATATTTAATAGTTTTATCGTTTTTGCATCAACTTGAAGGTTGAGGGGATTAACGAAGGATGTTTTGATAAAATTTCTATAACAAAAAATAAATCAAAATTGTTAAAACACCCTCTATTAATTTCTTTAAGCCCTGGGATACCAACAAAAAAAAATTTCTTTAACCCCAAAATGACGTAATTTTGGATTGATGAAGATAAATTTATATAAACCATATATAATAATACATTAGTATTTAAATAATTACTTTTTTAGTATTTAAATTTATCTCTATTTTCATCAATCTGACAATTACAATTATGGCTGCAAATTTTACCTTCAATAAAACAAAATAACAAAACTTATGTTCTACTTAATGCATATAGTCAAATTAAACGTAATAACTGGTGTAAAGAATCATACAATGCTTAAAAATATTGTATCGTCTTCTTCTCATTTTCACATGCATGCTTAAAATCTGAAAAAAAATTGCGCACACACTTTTTAGTTTTGACACACAATGTAACATGATTTGACCAAAAGATATGATATTATGTCTATATTTTTTTATGTCTACTTTACTTATTTATTTTCAACACCGTTAGAATCTTAAAAGAAGAAAGAAAAAATAAATGTTAGTTAAAATTATAATATGACGGTATTAGAAATAAGTACTTAAAATAAACATAAAAAATAGGTATAATATCATTTCTCTTTAACCAAATATGTCTAAACTCACAAATGAGAAAATTAGACATGCGATGGGAACAAATATAGCTCACAAGTTACTTTACAAGACAAATGATCTTATACTTTCATTCTCATTTTCAAAATCCTATTTCGCATATACACTTATTCATAATTTATATAAATTTGCTTGATAATTCAATAAATAATATAGACGCATAGATATCAACGGCTAATACGAGGAGCAAGATTTCTTATCTAAAATTGAGTTTGTAGTGGATTAATTTATGTTTGAAAACTTTTATATAAAAGCAATTTTGACAGACCGTTATTTGAATAGTATTGATTAAATTATTTTTTACGCATAAATATAAAAAGATATGAATTTATTTTAAAAAATCCAAATATTTTTCAGTTTTCATAAATATATTTAGGGTTCGCTTTTTCTACAGTCAATGTAGATAACTTATCTACATTGAGTCTAAAACGACGTCGTTTTGAGGCGGAAATCAAAGTATTTTTGTAATTATAATTTATTTCAAGGTTATAATAATCTTTTTTATTATACTTTTTTAAATTTTCAACCCAAAACGATGTCGTTTTGGGAGCGAATGTAGATAACTTATCTACATTTCCTTTAGAAATATTAAAGCCATACATTTATGTATAGTTTTTTAAGTTATAAATTATATTTTAAAATTAACTTATTAAGATTTTTTTTTTCATAGCCCGCAATAATTACATAAAAGAAAGACACGATTTTTTTTTAATAAGGTCACTTTTTATCCTCCAATGTAATAATAAAAAGTAATTACAATCGAGTGAACCCATAATTATAGCTGTAGACAACAACTAGTTAGATGATCAAATTACAATAATTCTTCATTAGATTTTTAGCTATCTAGAGCTATAAAATGTTGGGCTTTATTAATCTCATGTTATAGGAGAGTAGTTCTCTCCTACTATAGAAACAATCATGGATGAGGTTCACTCACTTATAAAAAATAAAAAAATAAAAATTAAACTACACATAAATCAATGGGTATGTAAAAAAAAGAGATATTATCTTATGTTGCATAAAAATAATATTTCCCTAAAATGTTAGTAAAGTAAAATACAGTATTGTTATCGACTGATATAAGAGACCCAAGAATGAAAGAGAAAACTAAGGAAGTGATTCTTAAATGATATAATCCTAGTACAACAACAATTAACCTAGAATTGGGCCCCTAAAAAGTCACTAAAAGTCATCATTTCACTATTTATAGGTAAATTCTATAAATAAGAGATAAAATCTATAGGTATGAGACTTAAGGGGTGTATTGGATTATAATTTTAAAAGATTTTTTTGAAATAAAAAATCTTATAGATTTTTAAAACTATTTAGAATTTGAGGGATTTTAAAGACTTTTTTAAAATATTTTTTTTACAATCAAGATTTCATAAGATTAAATTTTAAAGGATTTTAATAGAATTTATAAGATTTGAAAGGACAGTATGAATTTATAAGATTTTAAAAAATCTTACGAATTTTTAACAAACATTCAAAATTACAAGAGTCAATAAAAAAAATAACAAAGAAATGCAATGATATTAATAAAAAAAAGCAAAACCTAATATAACTTTCTCAATCAGTAAAACATAATATAATTTTTAACAAACATTTAAAATTACTAAGCAACAACTCTCCACATATCTAAAGCTATACTAGTCCTCCGCACATTAGCATTTTCTCATTCATGCTCTTGGGTTTGATCAATGGGTTGAGAATTATCTTCATCATTTGGTATCAGAGCTATGCATATATGATTATAAAATCCAATTTTTTTATTTATTAAAATAATTATAAATTTGCATATAGAACCTAAAGTTCATAATAAAATTTTGTTTGAATTTTTTTACAATTGATCTTGGAAACCTTGGGGGATTTTGTTATACGTGATGAGAGTTTTCTAACCATTTATATCATATGCATGTTTTCATTAAGTATTCTAAGAAAATTTCGAGTGTAAATTTCTAGATTTTATTACATAAAAGTTTAGAAAAAAATTCAAATTATTTTCAATCGATATTTATATTCATTGACTTTTTTCAATCGATATTTATAATCGAATACCACATGACTTTTTTCAATCCTCTAAAATCTTAATTGAATACCAAATGATTTTTTTGTCCGAAATTAATTCATTAAAATTCTTTGAAATCTCAATCCAATACGCACCTTACTCCATCATTATCTTCGGTAACTCTGCACACAACACAATCCCTTTGACTATGTTGTTACCTTTGTGCACAATGATATTTGGCTATGCCATTACACAATGATTTGCGTACCTCAAATATATCTCTTTCCTATATACCACATGAGAGAACTCTAAATCCAAGATCAATTCCCTAATCTTTGACTAGACACTTTTATGAGTTTATCCTTAGTATAGAACAATGGTCAAATAACAAATCGTTTGATGAGAAAAATTTTAATGGTCCATTTGTGGAAATGTGAAATTTTGTCTTCCACTTTACTTATTTCTTTTATTAGAAATACTACTCTTATTTTACAAGAGATAGTTATCTCATGTTCTCTCACTTCAAAAATTGCACCCCAATTTTTTATTTTTTGTTAGTGGGCCCCACTTGAATTCTCTCTATAGCATGAAAGAACTACTTTCATAAACATGAGAGTAATATTTTCCTTCTTTTATTTATATTTTCATTCATGTCTCAAATTTTCCAAAAGGAATATCCAATTGTTGGTATTCCTTAGTCACTGAAATTTTTTTCGAAAATTGATATGATTGTAAGAATGGAATCGGTCGAGAATTCATATAATTACTTAAAAAAAAATCAATCAAATGAAATTTTGTTAAAAGAATGGAATACAATGTCTATTATCGTTTCTCAATTTTGACACCATAAATAAAGACGACAAAACGGACCAATCCGCGCTTAACCCACCAAAAATACGGGGGGTTGACCCGCCGTTTGATGGTAGGTTGGAAATGTTAACCCACTCGTTTTGAGATGGGTTGGCGGGTTAACATGTTAAAAAATACAAAATAATAATAAATTATATTTTATTAATTTTATAATATTACTTATTTTAATTTCACATTCCTCTTAGTTTTTTTTCCAAATCTCAAGACTAAATATAAGCTAATATTCTGCCAGACATTTTTTATGACCTTATTTTTGTCTCCATATATGGATAATCTTTTTCATAAATAAAGTTTTTCTTTTTTAATTTTTCTAAAGGTGGAGAAATGTTATACTTACTATCTTTTTTGCTTACTACTAAATCTTAACCGTTGATTTTCGTCAATCTAACAGTTGTAATTTATTGAAATTTAATAATTAATTAATAATGTGACCCAATAAATTATAACCGTCAGACGGAAATCAACGATTAAGATTTAATAGTAAAAGGTAATAAGAAAAAAAGATAATAAGTATAACTCCCCCTTAAAGAAGTACTAATATAAAAAAAATTTAATAACAAATAAAATATTACCTAATAGCAAAAAAAACTGCCCCAGCGGAACGGGTTGAGATGAATTTATGAGTTAAAATGTATAACCCAACTCACCTTATTTTAGGCTCACGAGTTTACTCATGAATTCAATCCATATTGTCACCTGTAATCCTACAAACTAACTTATTTTTCGTATTTTTATTTGGTTTCTCTAAATTCAATGGAAAATCATCAAAATCTTCAATAGTACAAAGTACAAACTATAGTCGTATTAAATAAACTGATTGTATTTTATTTAGAATAAACACAAATATTGATCCTCTCAGAAAATATGCTTGAAAAATAAAAAGACATTGTGGTCACCACACTAATTAATCAATGTTGAAGAGAATGAAATCATTGATGATAATGATACTGATGAAGATTATAAGAATAATTGATGGTTTTTTTTCAAAAAACAAAAAAGTAAAAACAAAAAACAAAAAAAAATTCAGAACGGTGAGAGTGAGAGAGTGAAAAGGAAAAGTGGGGGGTTTTGTTTCACTTTCTTTCCGTTTGGGTGCAAATCGAGAGAGAGAGAGAGAGCATAGATATTTTGATCGTGTTGGTTGTTATTGCGGCGGAACCCTAGCGAGAGTGAGGAGGATGAGTGGCAAAGGCGGTGGCGGTGGGGGCCACAAGTCGGCGATTCCGGCGGCGAGTCGGAAGATGGTTCAGAGTCTGAAGGAGATAGTGAGCAACATCCCTGATCACGAGATCTACGCCACTCTCAAAGACTGTAACATGGACCCTAACGAAGCTGTTAGTCGCCTTCTCTCTCAAGGTCAAGCTCTTAGGGCATCAATTCAATATCAATTTATTTTTTTCAATGTTCCAACTCATGCATACGTATCTAATCTTAATCTTTATTTTTCATTCTCTAGATCCTTTTCATGAGGTTAAGAGCAAACGTGAAAAGAAAAAAGAGGTGAGTTTTTATTTATTTTTATTTTTATTATTAACTAACTTCTTTACAGTTCCTTTTTTTGTAGATGAATCTATAAGCTTATTTTTAAGATGCATATCATGAAGACCTCACTGCTTTAGTTTAGTTTATCTATTTGTTTCTGCTCACTGCCCAGCTTTTTTTTTTTTTGGATATGTTTCATTTGATTTGATTGCTTCTTCAGAATAAGGACACAACAGATTTGAGGCCTCGTGGGACAAACAATACATCGAGTCGTGGTGGTGGTAGAGCTGGCACTGATCGCTATGTTGGGCGTGCGGGTGCAACTCAATTCAGTGGTAGTGGTATGTGGTTGATGGATGTTATTTTTGAATAGTGTCTTAAATTACATGCTTTTAGTCTAATGTTGTTTTGGACTTCATCAAGTTTACCTTATCTGTTTCTGTTATTATTATTATTATTATTATTTTTACTTTAATTTTCTCTCCGATTTTTGGAGGTCAGATTCTGGTCTCCTGCAGGGAAAACCTTTATTCAAGAAGGAGAATGGAATGCCTGCTTATGAAGGCTCTATGTATTCTTCGTCTAGTGTGTTGGAGAATAATGTGAACAGGCAACGATCATCCTACAGGTTTCTCTTCCTTTACGATTGGAGTATAGTTAAAGGAATTGTGATGGTTATGACTTGTTTGTGAATTAGGTCTAGTTATTGTAGAGAAACTAAATCTGGCCACTTTTATATAGCATGAAATTCAATTGTATTCACTTACCAGCTGACACTATTGAAAATGGTTCCTCCAATTTATCTAAAAAGCAATTAGGTTGTCAAAGCATTCTACTTTTCAATATAGATTCACTTTTATTCTTTTATCAAACAGAAGGTGCATTCTGTGCCATTTATTCTCTGGATTACTTTCTGGTTCTACTTTATCTCTTGTGGCATGAATTTTATAACCGAGGAATCGTCCATCTTGGTCCTCCGAAGATATGCGAGACATCAAATGATCACATGAGTCCTCTATCTATAAATATATTAAGTTATTCCTCTAAAGATACATGTGACATCAAATCAGGCTTTCAATGTCTCATTTTTGCCATCAAGTTGGTTCGTGGAGGATGAAACTGATGACGTTACTTATCATTTAAGGACCACTTTGATGTCGCTAAGAAATGGAAGACCAGTATAATGTTGCATATTTCTCGAAGAGGCCAAAATTAGTGTTTACTCATTAGTTTTTTTTTTTTTTTTTTTTTTTTTAAATAAAACAAAATAAAATGAACTTGTGTCTGTAAGCACTTGGATACCAAACACAGTATCAATATGTAAGCCAAGATAGTGCGTCTCACAAATGCTCAAAACTGTTGCAGTGATTCTGTTGGTGTCTGTGATGGACTATCTTCATCATCACAGCATGGTGGATTGCAATCTGCATGGATGGTGAACCCGGGTCAAGTATCAATGGCTGATATTGTCAAGATGGGTAGGCCACAGACCAAGGCATCCATGCCTAACTCTTCTGTCCACAGTGGTAATCATCAGAATGTTTTTGCACCCCCAGCAGCTTCACATCACAATTCGCATTCATTGCAAGATCATGTTTCCATGGTGCCAGAGACAAATAATGATCAAGGCTTTGCTATCAACCCCAATGTCCAACAGGACGATGAGTGGCCTTCTATTGAGCATCAACCAGCTGTTTGTGTATCCTCTGTTGTTGATGGCCATCCAAATTCTGAGTACTATTCAAACTCATCTAACTTTGGTGAAGCTAGTCGACAGCTGAAGACACACGGAAATGAATTTTTAGCCGAAGATGGTGCTGTTGAGAATCCAGACAATGTTGGATCTGCTTCTGTACCTGCAAAAAGTATATCTGAGGATATTCCTGAAAGTGCACCTGTTTTTGATGGTAGCTTGTACAAGGACATAAATTCCTACCATCCTCATAGACATTCTTTTGATAATAATGAAGGTGACTACTGACTAGGATGCTTGTGTCTTTATTTGTATTGAACACATATGTCTTCCATAAAATTTGTTTAACTATCATGTAATTAGAGTGATGCTACCACCATATAAATTTGCTTTGAAATTTCTTAGGTTTCATGTTTTATGTCTGCTGTCTGCGTAATTGATCTTGTAAATATACGTGCATGTTAGATTTGGCTAGAAAATCTTAGTCATAGAAATAGCGTAAGATATTGATTTGATATCTCCCTTTGACGAGTCAATCTGATGGTTTCATTATTATTATCATTGTTATTATTGACTCTTTTTTTCTTTTTCATCCAGCATAACGTGAATGGTTTAAAAGGCATTATTGTAATGTATCATGTGTCTGTGTATGGTCTCTACTGGTTTAGGAAGCATTATTGTAATACCATTATTTGAAACTCATGACTACATTAGACTTGTGCCGACATACACGTATGGTATCTAAGCTTTAATTTATTAACATCTTCGTTTCAGCTGAAGATGGTGTTTCATCAGTGGCTACAAACTTAGAGAAGCTAAATTTACACCAAGAGGATCAAGGGACAGAAACAGAGGAGGACAATCCTTCTGTGGTGATTCCAAATCACCTACAGCTTCATACTTCAGAATGCTTAAATCTGAGCTTTGGAAGTTTTGGATCTGCAAACAATGCTTCCCTTTCTGTATCTGGGCCATATGCCTCTAGGCCCTTAAAAAATAACTTGGAGGACACATCTGGAGCAACTGATGTTTCAACAATTGGGTCCTCAGACGCTAGGTACGTTTTAAGATAATAGTATACTTTGCTTCAATATTCTGGTCGTTGCTAGTTTACTTAGGTATGTGTTTAATTTTTATTGCAGAAATCCTGAATATTATGGGGATGAGCATCTTACTACTACTTCGGATGGGAATTTGGCTCACATAACTGGTGTGGATGCTGGGACTTACGATTCTTCCATTTCAAAACCAGAGGCTTTAAAATCTGAAGCCCCTGAAACTGCCCAGGAAAATCAATATCCATTTCCTTCATCTTCGCATGAGTTTACTTATGAAAATGCCCAACAACCAGATGTTACATATCCTCATTCACAGACAAGCTCGCAGATCCAGAACCTGTCTCCTTTCTCTAGTGTAATGGTAATGCATAGAGTTGTTAGATTTTGGATGTGCAATATACAATATATTTCAAGGTTGTGTCTTATTTTGGGTCTTTAATTAATTAGAGTTGGATCTAAAATTATCTAATTAGAGATCTTGTAATGTTAAAACTTGGGGATGGTCGGTGCTGTGATGCTATCCATTACTTAGAGAGTGAAAAAAAAAACTTGGCAGTAGAGTAGTGGCTTATTGTCAAAATTACTTTAAATTTTGTATGACCAATTTTAAATTATATTCTGAGATGGCATTTAGAATTTGGACATAAATATATCCTTTTGGATGTTTCATTCTTCTTGTTGCGATGATGTGTGAGCTTTTATCATAGGTATTTGAGCTGAGTGCAAAATTTCACTGCTCAGTTGCTTTACTAAATGAACTTATATGACATGAACCCTACCCTCATTATAATGTAATATTTATTTTTTTCATAAACTATATTATGGTGCGAAGTGCAGACTGTTCATTGCTTTAGTGTAGTAATAACAACTGATATTACTTTAGTAGCTTTTATCTTCTAATATTGATATTATATATTAATTCTACTGTCTACATCTATCTGTGATGTTTTTTAGCAGGCATATACTAATTCTTTGCCCAATGCTCTGTTGGCTTCAACGGTTCAAACAGCAAGGGAGGATATCCCATACTCACCCTTCCCTGCTACACAATCAATGCCTGCGAAATATAGCAACATTGCATCTTCAATTGGTGTTCCCACTATAAACATGTCAGAGGTGCACTTCTGCTCTAGCTTATTTAAGTTTTTCTACATACAGGCTTTTGAAAGAGGTTGAGTAATAAATAAAGCCTATTATTATGGCTTACAGAGTATTCGATTATTCTAAGCCCAAAAAATGTTTATTGGAATTCATGTGGACATTATATTTAAGGGGTGCAGTTGTATACTGATAAATTCTGGTTAGCAATAATAAGCATTAAGATAATCACATCTGTTAAGGAAATGCAAATTTCTCGCCAGATATTATGTTATAGTTTTATGTTGTGTTCTGTGTGTATTGCTTACCAACTGTTCACTTGACTACCATGTGACATTAGTTAAAGTCCTGACTGACTTCCAGTGGTCCACTCAAATCAGAAGATGATAAAATGGCTCAATCACTTGGTGTTCATGAACAGCTGTCTAAAAAGAAAAAGGCAATTTTCATGTTTTGGTTTTAAACAACTTGAGTGATTACTGATTAGTGCCTCCATATGAGCTGATCTTTCGGCAGTCAGTGTGTTTTCTTTGTATGACATTATGACGTTTATATTAAATTAGCAATTTAAGAGGACTTATTAGATGAGATAAGTGTTTGGATTTTCATGCCTAGGTGTCAGAATCATTTGTGTCTTGTAGTCATAAGTACTTTTAGGGTGGTGGATATTAAAAAAGAAAGAAAAAGGATTGTACGAGTATCGGTATTGAATAGATATGGAAAATCCATTGTTTACTTTTTTTACCCTATTTAAGGGTATATTAAACTGAGTCTAAGAAATAATCTTAGTGGAGGTCATGGGTGCATTTTGTATTAACATTGTTTGCTAATGATCACTTTGGCTTAGTTAAATGTTATATTTGTATCTTGAATTTAATGTTTTAGTAAGATGGAGAATGTAGGAATTCAGTCTTTTGATAATTTTCTTTGTCAACATGCAGGCTCTAAGAGCAAATAGCATTTCTATGCCTCAACCTAATCCACAAGCTCTGCCTGGTGCCGCCAGTGTTGCCACTGGACCTGCACTTCCTCAACACCTTGCTGTGCATCCCTACTCCCAGCCTACTCTTCCTCTGGGACATTTTGCTAACATGATTAGTTATCCATTCTTGCCTCAGAGCTATACCTACATGCCATCAGCGTTTCAGCAATCTTTTGCTGGAAATAGCACATACCACCAATCTCTGGCAGCAGTTCTTCCACAATATAAAAATAGCATTTCTGTCAGTAGCTTGCCGCAGTCTGCTGCTATTGCATCTGGATATGGTTTTGGAAGTTCCACCAGCATTCCTGGAGGAAATTATCCTTTGAATCCACCTGCTGCCCCTACTAGTACAACCATTGGATATGATGATATTATAAACTCCCAGTACAAGGAAAACAATCATATGATTTCACTACAGCAGGTAGAAAGATCTTCATCTTAAAATATTTTACCTCTAATTGTTTTTCACTTTCCTGTTACAATTTATTCTGTTGGGAGTTTAGCCAATTTGTTATCATTAGTGCAGCCATCGTTTTATATCAAAGTGAAGTTATCTGTTATTTTTTTATATTTAAAGGCATGTAAACAAAAGGGTTTTATTTTAAGATGTGGGGGTCATTTTGTTGTCAACAATTTTCTCCATTTTTTTGTTGTGAGGGGGTGGGTGGCAAGGGGTAAGGAAAAGATAACAGTAGAGAGTCGGGCCTCCTCTTATGGTTTAATTATATTGAAGAATGAAATGGCTGATTTTGTGTTTTCTTGTTTTCTTCTGTCAGAATGAGAATTCTCCCATGTGGGTTCATGGGCCTGGCTCTCGAACAATGTCTGCGGTTCCTCCCAGCACTTATTACAGTTTTCAGGGACAGAATCAGCAACAACCAGGTGGATTTCGGCAAAGTCAGCAGCAGCCTTCACAGCATTTTGGAGCCCTTGGGTACCCTAATTTCTACCATTCTCAGACTGGGATTTCTCTGGAACATCAGCAGCAGAACCCAAGGGAAGCATCCCTCGCTGGTTCCCAAAACCAACCACCTAAGCAGTCCCAACAAATATGGCAAAACAGCTACTAATCCTAATCACCTCCCAGTTTTTAAGGGTCTTGATGTGAGTTTGAAAGTGACCAATCAGAGGCATTTCCTCGGCCTAATAATTATATGTACCATTGTTTGGTCTGAATAGACCGTATATGGCCGCTGCCCTGTGCGACGAAGTTGTATTCTACATAATTATGCTCGTAACGTTTAACGTAGGTACTAAGTGTGCTAATTTGGTGTTCTTCGTGCTATATACATTTTTTCCCCTTTTCTTTTCCTTTACATTCTTCTCATCTGGTTATAGTGGAAGTTTCTTCGATGGTACATCCTCTAAGCTGTCTTAGATTTCGCTCCTTTTATGTTTGCTCTTTTTTATATGCGTTTGTCATAAATTGTCCTTCAACTAAGCATTTACCATTATCCGTTTGAGTATTAATCAGTTAATAATGTGATGACCCTTTTCATGTAACTAACTGCATGATGTGGTTTTGTGCCTTTTGTTACAAGTTAGAACGATGATGAGTTTTAATTGTTTCAGGGTTTGGCTGGGTGTGAAATGTCATCAGCATTGTTTAGTACTGGTAGGACAACTGACAACAAAGGAAATGTTAATGAACTTTGCATTTTACTGTTTTTGCTAGGATTCCCATTTCTTATGTAACAAACATAAACCCCTTTCTAATGGGTGGGTGAAGTGAATCGTTACCTCAACCATTAATTCCTCTGATGTTTTCTTCTGTTTGAGATATAAATATTAAGGTTTTCAAGGTGTTCCCCTAATTTAACGAGCTCATGTGATGCTAGAAGCTATTGGTCAAGGCGAATGAATGGTGTGGATTATTATACTCTACAAGCCGAGTCCCCATCTTGAATACAATGGCTATTATATTCATTTTCCATGAACTATGAAATGTTGTTGAAGAAGGTTATTAGCGCAAGCACCAACCATGACAGAAAATCTATTTAAGACATACAAAGAAACGGCGAAGAAAAATGTAAGTACCTTTCATTATATAGAAAAAGGCGTGAGCAAAATAAGTTAAATAAGAATGTTTAATGTTTTGACTTATGATGGCAAAATATGTTTGTGCGATCTTCTGGAATTAGTTCAAAGGCTTTGATTAAAAAAGAGAAAGAAATTTCACTTGCTTAGTTAATAAGAAAAATAAGCAGAAAAGGTAACTCAAAAAATAAATTTTTAATTTTTCTCTCTCTCAAGTTTTTTCTTTTCAAATTTTAAAATTTTCATTTCTCAGGTTGATCTCTCCTCTCTTCCAAATAAAGAAGGTAAATATTAAGCTGGGTTATGAGACACATTATAGAAGAAGAATGCGTAGATGGGCCTTGAAAGACTGCTACATTACAATGGACATTATTGTTTTTTTTTTTTTTTTTTACCAACTATAATTATCTTTTTAGAAAAGTATCTGTCTACACATTTTTTGTATTACAAATTACACTATCTTCTTCTTAGAAAAGATAGTGTAACTGTAACCTAGTGTTCTCCCGGAAGAAGATAGTGTAATTTGTAAATAAATTTTTTTGAAAATATAACTTGTCCCTGTTTTTTTTAAGACAAATAGCCTCTAATATCGGAAATTAATCATAATTAAAGTTATTCCTCCCCCTCATGTATTTGGTGAGAATATCTTTTATTCTAGTTAACATGGGTTGCCAATTGAGCTACGGGCTATTATTGGTGCAGTCTAGTCAATGTTTTGGTGTTCCACCAATTTCTACTCTAATCCTGGAACGTGCTTTCATTGGCTAATTCATTTTTGTTTCTTGATTTTTATAAATAATTCTGATCAGATTCAAGTTGACGTCAGTTTGGTTTTTTTTTTTGTTGATAAAACTTCGCTTGGGTTTTTACGGGTACCCACACTATTCGTGCCAGGGGAGATTTCTATATTATGAGGTGAATGACAAATTCAAAACCTGATATTTTGTTCATGATTTTTTTTTCTTGTTTAATTTATTTTTATCTAACAAGAAATTATATCATTCACACTTAAATAATTAGTTCTGCTCTCAAAATTAATTGTCAAGTTTGTTGAGTTCAATCTTGAAATTATGTTTTGATTAATCAAGACATAGTAAGAGCTGAAAGGATGGAAAGACTTGCAAGGCGTCACACACAGTGCTGCTTGCTTCCCTCCTTGAAACGGCAGAAGCACATTGAATAAATTTTTTGTTCTTGTTTTTTTTTTTTTTTTTGAGTTAACCCAACCTTTATTATTTCTTTGAAGCGAGTTGATTTTATGATATCCTTACAAGTTTCGAATCTTTGAACTGACTATGAAACTAATCTGAAATGCGGGACAAAAAAAAATATATTTAAACTCTTTCCAAAAATAATATTTAAGAATCTTGAGATCCTTTTCATTTTAGTTACTCAACTCCCTTGTCACTGTTTGGTTTTGTTCTTGATTTTTTTTTTTGGAAACATAGTTCTTGATTTTAAATGTTAGGGACTACTAGAATTGCTGATTTGACAATTTATTGCACAATGGCAAGTTAAAGGAGTTGAAAAAGTCAAGTTTGTTTCTATTTGTTATGGATATGTATAAGGGTCCATGGCATGTTGAATAATAAGCAATTTAAGATCTGAATCAATTGTAATTATGGATAGTATCCATCAAGGATAATAATCTTAGTACAACAGCATAGCAAATAGACTTGGGCCTTCATCAGAGGTACTAAAGGCCCAAATCATATTATCCACAAGTAATTTCTATAAATAAAAGGTAAATCCTAAAGGAACGTTACGCTCTCTCTTACTATTATGTTGTCATTGTGCGCGCACACATACTCCATTAGCTAACGCCGTTATTAGTTCGTTGTGCACAGTAATCTGCTTGAATCAAAGATATCTCTTCTATAAATACTTTAGAAAGAGCACTAGATCCAAGATCAACATATAGTTCATTGGACTGGACATATCTGTCTCCTAGATAAAGACTATTTTTTTTTATGTTAAGAAGTTGCCTAAAATTTAGGAAATAGTGGTAATTTTTTAGTCTTTGGGAAGTTGTGGTGGCATCAGGCATGTTTATATGTGATCTGGCGCGCAACAGAATATATTTTATATTGTTTTTTACTAGAGTTCTGACTTTAGTTTAACAAAAAAATGTGATGTTATGGGCCCAGCCCACAATATTTACTAAGAAAGAAAAAAAAATTGTGATGTGAGATCTTTCTAAAGGTTTGCATAGTAAGTGAAGAGATATTGTATATTTATTGCGTTATTGAAAAGGGAAAAGGGATGTCAAAGTCAAATAAAGTGTCTGGAGAAACATTTGTCCTGGCATTAAACAACAAATAGCCAAATATTTTCAATATGATGTGGGCCCAGCCCACAATATTTACTAAGAAAGAAAAAAAAAATTGTGATGTGAGATCTTTCTAAAGGTTTGCATAGTAAGTGAAGAGATATTGTATATTTATTGCGTTATTGAAAAGGGAAAAGGGATGTCAAAGTCAAATAAAGTGTCTGGAGAAACATTTGTCCTGGCATTAAACAACAAATAGCCAAATATTTTCAACCCCCCCCCCGCCGGTGTAAGCAATCATTCATTACTAAAAGGCCTTGATTGTGGACAAATATATATATATATATATATATATATATATATAGAGGTAGGATCCTTTGACACCGGTGTCAAATTTGAAGTTTGACACCTCATCTGAGAGTCCTTAGATCAAAAAATATCAATGTTGTCACATGCTTACAAATCAGAGTCGTTGATCTTTTTTGATCTAACGGCTCTTAGATGAGGTGTCAAACTTTAAATTTGACACCGGTGTCAAAGATCCTGCCTCATATATATATATATATATATATATATATATATGAGGCAGGATTCTTTGACACCGGTGTTAAATTTGAAGTTTGACATCTCATATGAGAGCATTAGATCATAAAAGAACAATGATGTCACATGCTTACAAATCAGAGCCATTGATCTTTTTTGATCTAATGGGTCTCATATGAAGTGTCAAACTTCAAATTTGACACTGATGTCAAATGATCCTACTTCTATATATATATATATATATATATATATATATATATATATATATATGGGGCAGGATATTCTTACACCGGTGTATGAGTTAGAAGTCTTACACTCAATCTTGAGCATTGATTCACTTGTATCCAATGGCTCACATTACTAAAAAATTTGAGCCGTTAGATATAAGTGGGATCAACGATCAAGATTGAGAGTGTAACTTACACTAGTGTAAAATGATCCTGACCCTATATATATATATATATATATATATATATATAGGGTAAAGTGTGTGTTACCCAAGTGTGGTGGCTCAGCTGGTAGCATGGGGACTGAGTGGTGGAAGAGGACCTCGGTTCGAATCCCACCAACACCATCTGAGGAGGGGTATAGGTACCGTAATCCTTGGACTCGCACCCGAACTCTGGATTAGTCCCATAGGCGGCTCAAAGTGTCGAACCCGTAGGGATACCGGGGGTTCTGATTCTCCTCAAAGAGGTAATTAGGATCAGTTTAAAAAAAAAGAGGGTAAAGTGTGTGACATTTTAAAGGATGTAAAGTTGTGTCATTTTAAGTGAGAGAAAGCGATAGATAAAGGAGGAGAGAGAGTGGACAAAAAAAATAAAGGTGTGGGTCCCAGCTCTTTGTGAGAGTGAAAGGATGTAAGTTGTGTCATTTAAAAGGACAAACACTTTTCTCATATATATATATATATAGTGAGAGAGGTAGGATCTTTTGACACCAGTGTTAAATTTAAAATTTGACACCTCATATGAGAGTCATTAGATAAAAAAAGATCAACGACTCTGATTTATAAGCATGTGACACCATTGATCTTTTTTTATCTAATGACTCTCAGATGAGGTGTCAAAGGATCCTACTCATATATATATATATATATATATATATATATATATATACATATATATATCTATATATATATGGAAAAAACATTTCTCAAGCTGCTTGAGATAAATTTATCTCCGGCCACCCCAAAACTACGTCGTTTTGATTATTTATTTCCTTATATGTATTCATTCACCTTTGAATGGTTATTATTCCCCTTTTCTCTCTTTTCCTTTATCACCATTGATCCATCTTTATACGGTTATGATGTAGTAGCTGGAGATAACTTTATCTCCGGTAGCTTGAGAAATCATAAGCCCTATATATATATATATATATATATATATATATATATATATATATATATATATATATAAGGCATGTTATATTTATAAATTTTTTTGTTTACAAACTACATTATCTTCTCCCGGGAGAATACTAGTCACACTATATTCTCTAGGGAGAACATAGTGCAATTTGCAAAAATTTGTAAAACAAATTTGTAAACGGATCTTTCTTCTATATATATATATATATATATATA